GATGGAAAATAACATTTAACTAATAAGCCTTGAGCACAAAAAGAATAAGGTGTCTCTGGTGGTGCATATTTATTTAGATCAAGCATGTTTTCATTCAGTAAAGTTACTCACAATGGATGGATTAACCAGACATTTTAGACAAGTAAGAGTAGAGATAATTTTACTCAAATAAAAGCTAAAAGTACAAAGCTGTAAAAAATATTCCTAAGGTCATTAAATAAGTTACCCAAGTAACTGTAACTGAATTAAATGTAACTAATATCTACCCACCTCTGAGTTGCTGCCACCGCCCTAAACCATTACAGACTCTTATTTTGAAACTCGCCACCGGAAGTTTTTTTTGCATCAGTTAGCTTGCCTCGTGCGCTGGTGGAGCATCACAACATCAACTCAGCCGCTGCGAAGTCGGGAAGCGTTGCTCTTACTTCGATGAAGGTAATAAAACATCTCTTCCTGGTTGCAGTGTGTACATGTATGTAAATAAATAGTTTTAAACCGATAGTTTGTTTATATTCAGTAAATCCAAACGGCGATGTTAGCGAATCTGCTGCTAATGAATCATCTGCTTTTACATCGCCTCTGTTTTATCCCTATAGTGATGTTATATCCTGTATCTATTGTTCCTCGTAGCATATGTTCTACCAAGCATCGTTAAACTTAGAAGCTCAGAGGTCAGGCCTTCCGTGTTTACATCAGCTTCAGGGTTTGGGTCTGTTGTCGGTCACCTCCACTGGTCTGCTGCTGGAGACAAACGCTGCAGGCCTCCATCTTCCCTCCCTCCATCCTCCATCCATCCCTCCATCCTCCATCCATCCCTCCATCCTCCATCCATCCCTCCATCCATCCCTCCATCCTCCCATTGGGCTCAAAAAGACCCAAACATGAAGCGACGGCCACCATGATGCGGATTTCTTCGTTTTTTTAAGGGATTCGATGGGTTTAAGGAGGTTTATGAGTTTAAAATATAAAGCTTAAGGTGGGGAGAGTGAAGAGTGGTGCATTGCAGTCAGGTGTGGAGGCGGAAGGGAGGGAGAGGGAGGGAGGATGGAGGAGACAGACTGAGGGAGGGAGGGAGGATGGAGGAGACAGACTNGACTGAGGGAAGGAAGGAAGCGAGGGAGGGAGGGCGGAGGAGACAGACTGAAGGAGGGAGGGAGGATGGAGGAGACTGACTGAGGGAAGGAAGGAAGCGAGGGAGGGAGGGCGGAGGAGACAGACTGGGGGGAAGGAAGCGAGGGAGGGAGTTAGGGTGGGAGGAGGAGACAGACTGAGGAAAGGAAGCGAGGGAGGGAGGAGGAGACAAACTGAGGGAAGGAAGCGAGGGAGGGAGGAGACAGACTGAGGGAAGGAAGAGTGGGAGGGAGGGAAGGATGGAGGAGACAGACAGAGGGATGGAAGCAAGGGAGGGAGGAGAAGACAGACTGAGGAAAGGAAGCGAGGGTGGGAGGGAGGAGGAGACAGGCTGAGGGAAGGAAGAGAGGGAGGGAGGGAGGAGGAGACAGACTGAGGGAAGGAAGAGAGGGAGGGAGGAGGAGACAGACTGAGGGAAGGAAGAGAGGGAAGGATGGAGGAGACAGACAGAGGGAAGGAAGCGAGGGAGGGAGGGAGGGAGGGAGGGAGGGAGGAGGAGACAGACTGAAGGAAGGAGGACGGAGGGGACAGACTGAGGGAAGGAAGGTAGGGAGGGAGAACAGGTGCGCCTCCAGCATCCGAGCTGGAATAGAGAAAAGTCACGATGCTGCTTGGTTTGATCCTGATCCAATCAGATTATCTGTTGGATACAAACATAAAGAGCAGCAAAATTTAGCTAGGCATAACAGGGATTAGATAAGTTTATTTTCTGATTGAATAAACCCTTAATAGTGTTTATTTTACAACATGCAGCTGCTCTATTTTGATCTTATATGTTTTTTTCAGTCTTTTTCCTTTTTCATACAATAACAAAATAAAATTATAAATATAGAAGGTAGAGTTCCTGATAACACAACAATTTAAAGTAGTGATGCTGGTGATGGTAAGGGGAAGCCTCATGAGGCTTTGAACCTTTTGGCCAAATTTGGCCAACAGTTCATGAGGCTCCATCTGAACATGTCTCCACCTACTGGTGGAGTGCAGAACTACAGTGTAAAATGTCTTAGAACAATCATTTAAGGTGCACAGTTTTTCTGCTGTTTTAGTGAAATAAACTCAGACAGACAGTGAAAGTGTGCAAATTGGGCAATGATGAGCAAAATTAAAGTTGTTAGTCATTTTTATTCAAACATAATAGTTTTTCCACATCTTTTGGTTTTAATCGGGTTGGAAGTTGTGTTCAACCAATCTTTTGGCTAAACCGACCTAATTTGTCAGCGTTTTTACCCAATCTATATTTTTACTAGGGCAAACCAATGCAAATTAGTCTCATTGACCATCAATTTTGGCCCCTCCTCTAAATGAATCACGCCTCGTCACGCGCTTCGGGGAAACGCCCCCTCCATTACTCGACACACGCCTCGAAGCCTCGGCTCATCTCATAACATCACTAATTTTATTTGTTTCTATGAGCTGAAATAGATCTTATGTTAATTGTTATTGCAATCTAAGCCCTTATTGATGTTTTTAGTGAATTAGCTGATGCATACATTTTTAGATCAAGCAAGTGGAGGCAAATGAAATATACCCTGTAAAGTAGTTTGGTCCAGGATCAGCAAGGTGAAGAAAAAAACAGCTTTATCCACCGGTTCCAGATTTCTCTTTTGTCTTTTATTCTGCACTTTTCACTCTGACAACCGTCCCTTGAGCTCCTAAGAGCTCAGTGCTTATCTAACCAATTGGCAACACACCTGCCCCCGAGTTGGACCAAGCCACAATTAAACAGGTAGAAAAAAAACAAAGTCTAAACAGAGAAACAACATTAAAATTGTATTACATGAAAGAATGAACGAATCTGCAAAATAAACAATGTGATACAAGATAACTCTAAAAGTGACTTTAAAGAAAAACAAACAAAGCATCACTCCAAAGGAAACCCTCTAAATGGTAATCAGTGCCATCATCTAGCTAATTTAGCAGGAGATAATTGGACAACGGTGAGTAAAAAGGAAAACAAATACCATGAATATACTTTGAAACAAAATAAACAATTTCCACCAATAATCCAGAAGTAATAGCTTTAACCTAAACATATAGATAGATAAATGCTAACACAAACAAACCCGGGATAGTAAGTGAAGCAAAGTTGCAAACTAATGTTTAAATTTAAGCATTACAAATCAGAAGAAAGAATAAGGGACAATTGGTGAAAACAAACTGAACCACTTTGTCACATCCTTACCCCCTAGCAGCCCAACTTGGAAATTAAAATTTCCAAGTAAATTTTTTTTTTTAAGAGCAGCTCAGGACCATTCGTGGGCGTAGCCCTCCTCTCAGCCAGTATTCATTAGGGATGGGCATCAGCTGTAAACCTCATGGTGATGAGGGTAGGGCTCTCATCAGAGGTTTGAATATAGACAAATCTGCTGTTTTTGAACAATTTCAATACATTAAAATGAAAAGGAAAAAAAAACAAACAAAAAAAACATCTATAATATCTCAAAGAGAGAGGGATTTGTTTTATCCAGTAGCACACACATTGTGGGGTAATC